TTGTTACATCTAACGCAGCCATATGCATATAATGTGCATATTATGACGCACACAGGCTCTCAACAGCAATGACAGCTGATCAACAATTTCAACAGTAGGCTAGATTAGGGTGGGTTAAATGCAGAGTAAATTTTCCTACATGGATCAGTAAAAGTAATCCACCACCAATACACGGGTCACTATGCACATTCCCGTCACTCTAAAATGACGACGCGGCCACAGCAGCAAAACTGTACAAATGCTGGACATCCACACACCACAATATTATCAACATACCACGTACACATCCATAACAATGTGCATGACACAATACTCGTCAAATAATAAAGCACTCACCTGTCACTTGTAAATAAAGTCCGTGCATCTGTCATTCCATGTCCCTTTACTCACATTAAAAAGTAAACACGGGTAACAAAATAACTTGTTTTGATCGGTGCTAACATTAGCTGTTATCTAGAATTTTTTTTTAGAAAAAATCTAGAAAAGCTTCAGGCCCAGATGGTGTTTCACCTGCCTGTTTAAAAGTCTGTGCTGACCAGTGGTGGACGAAGCCAGTTTGGGTGTAGTAGGTCTTCCTTTTTCAATTATTTCTCTTTTGTCTGCAAAAGAGCGCCTTGAAAAAGGCGTTTTTAGTAAATCGGCAACAAGATCTGGTGTAGGCGCCAGCGACTGCGGCTGTTATTTTCTTAGTTGAATTTCACGTTCACGCCGGGGGTAGCACTGGGCACGTCGTTAAACCCAGAAGGCTTGCTGCGATTGAACGTCAAAATTAGATTGGCTGATGATTCTGTCACATGCTTGTTACAAATTAGATGTGACGTCTTTAGCATTAACTTAAGGTGCGTTCGACTTGAAGCACGGCTACAGACAGCAGTCAATGAGAGTAGCCGCTTGCAGTCATGGCGGAGTTGAAAACGGAGCCGTCAAGCCGGACTCTAGGTGCATTCGACTTGAACCATGGCTACAGACGGCAGTCAACGAGAGTAGCCGCTTGCAGTTGGGGAAGGAGTTAAAAACGGAGCCGTCAAGCCGGACACTTTCTGCTCCCGTCAGTGACGTTCACGTGGTGTTTGCATACTCTATCACAGATGAAGTGAATTAAATGCAATTATTTGTCAAATATACAGATGTTTCAGAAACGTTTTCATGAGCAACAGATATATACTGATTATATACGTCTTAATACATCGCCATCTGTTCAAGAATAAAGTTCAACGTAAATATATACGATTTAAATACTAATAAAGTGGGGGAATGTATGCTTTCATCAGTGTTTTATGATAAACGTGACTCAATATAACATTGCGACTACAGTAAAAAAGCTTTTACTGTTCTAAAAACACAGATTTGTGGCTATTATTGGAATTGAAAAGATTAGAATAAACACGTGATAGTTGTCATGCGGTGAATCTGACCAATCGTGAAACATTTGCAAATGCTTTTTATCACTTAATTAGAAGCACCACAAATTAAAATTGTCATGTTATAGGGACTACTGAACAGACATTTAGAAGTTGATTTTAAAATGCAAAGTATTTAAAATTAAAATTAAAATAAAGCTATGTAAACACTTGCATTTTTACAACACTACAAGTGTGTCCCATCAGGTAATGAAAAGTTTGACAAAGTCTAATTCCTAGTCATATTAGAATGATATCTTAGTTTTACCGGCCATATACAGTTTGTGATTGCATTTTATATGTCCAGATATATCAAGACGTGCAGTCTGCCAATAACATTAGAGCGATAGCAGTAGGAACGCCCACAAGCGTCTTCACAGCACAGAGTCTAGCGACATACAGCATTTTTAAAATCTTATAAAATTTTAAAGCCTTTATTATTTCTAATCAGTAAAATTCACTTTATTAAAGGTTAACTTTTCATTCATGTTTTAGGCTTCTCTTTATTTTAATATCTTAGACATCCATCAATTAGTGATGAAAAAAATTGCCGCGCTGGTGGAAACAACACGAGACACTCGAAGGTGTTTAGTGTCCCGCAGCAGCAGCAGCGAGCGTGCCGTCAGCGCAGGTGAAGAGTTCTGCGTTCAAATGCACGCAATAGGCTTAAGTTTAAAGCTTTCTATAGATATATTTATCATGTCTGTGAGGTGTGTATTCGCTGAGTTTCGGTTCATTTTTGTGAAGCACTCCTTTTCAAGACCAAAACGGCAGTATAAAAGCACAACGTTTTGTTGATATTGTGAGTGCACACAAAAAAGTAGACACTTTGCAGTTCCGAATCATATTACTCTTTATGAGCAAAAATGACGCATAGGCTATTTAAAGTTGTTTCCACTGAAAAAAATGCAAGTGATCTCGCTGGCGACTTCATGTCCTTCAAAGCGCGCTTTAGCTTCCACTCTCCGCACAAACTATTGGATATGCGTCTAACAGCGCACATTTATCTAGGTTTAACGTTTAAACATTGTTATTTGAACTGTTTTATATCTATAGATTTTATTTTAGGCAAGTCGTGATGATTTGAGAAGGCTAAACTGATCAAACATGCTATGGTATATGAAACAGGCTATGATCAGCTCACTGTCTGCCGCTGGCTGCTTGGTCGTTACTTTAAAAAACAAAAACTTATATTTAATGACCAAAAAATGCTCCA